ATTTGGATTTCTCTTCTGTTCATTTACTTTTCATTTTGTTATTTGATAAAAAGAAACTATTAAGACTTTTATTTCTGAAAGCGTTCTTACTTTACAACAATTTTTCACACCTGCCTAAAACATTTGCACAGTACTGTACAGTGGGTTTGGACTGGTGAATCCATCACACACAGGTCATCAATGATCAGAAATTCGCCCGTTCCAAGCAATATAACTGAGCTATGATAAACTAAAATCAAATAAATTAGCCACATTAGGAACATTGAAAACAATATAACTAAAACAGTCCAGCCTTGCAGCTCTTTAAAGCACAGTAGGAAAACACTGGTATGAACTAGAAGAGCGTTTCTCAACCTTTTTTAATTCACTGCACCTTTTAAAATTCTGCAAAATCTTGAGGCATAGATTTTAAGGGGGACCACACGAAAAACACCCACAAAAATGGGTTTCCCCTTTGTATCGAAGTGCCTCTCCAAATCAAAATTTCCCCTCTTCACATCAGAGTTAGCCTTTGCATCAGTAGCCCCCTTTCACAGCAGGAGCCCCCCTGCATTACTAAGCCCAGAGTCCAGTGCGTTACTAAGTCCAGAATCCAGTGCGTTCCTGAGTCCAGTGCATTCCTAAGTCCTGCGTCCAGTGCGTTCCTAATTCCTGAGTCCAGTGCATTCCTAAGTCATGAGTCAGGTGTGTTCCTGAGTCCGGTGCGTTCCTAAGTCCTGAGTCCAGTGCATTCCTAAGTCCTGATTACAGTGTGTTGCTAAGTTCTAAATCCAGTACGTTCCTAAGTCCTGAATCCAGTACGTTCTTGAGTCAAGTGCGTTACTAAGTCCTGAGTCCTGGTGCAGAGACAGCTGGGGGGTTAGGGGCCAGTGAGATCGGCTCCTGGGCCCCCCCACCTTGGAAGCGGGAAGGGGGGCCCAAGAAAAAGTCACGCACCAGGGCCCCTTGTTCCTTATGTCCGCCACTGAACGGCACCCTGGTTGAGAAAGGCTGAACTAGAAAATGAGCACAGAAGAGCATTGGAATAGTGTAGAAGTTAAAGAACTTTAATGTGAAATGGTGAATAAAATGAATGCACTCTCAAAAGTATTTGTTGTGTAGAAAGCCAAAATACAAATAGAGGAATGATAGTGGGGGAACCACCCAAGTAAAATCAAGATGCAACCTCTGTATCAGAGGCTTAGAGCACTGTGTCTAGAGTGCAGCTGTCGGATTTTCCCTCCTCCTCTCTCCACTTCCAGTCCGTTCTGTTTCCTCTAGTGCCCCTGTTACGCACATGACTACTGTGCTAGGTACATCATGTGTTTCGGAGAGAACACCTCCCCTTCATCAGCCTCTGTAAAACAGTCAGACAGCAAGTAGTTGTTAGAGGTTCTTGCTTAAAAAGCCAACCTGTACACAGACACTGCTGAACATTATCAAATAGGGAAAGTGGACAGATAGTGGCTGAAGGTCTCCATGATAGCAGACTAGCATATTGGCTATATTTGGAAAACAAAGCACCACTGTTATTAGTGCACCACTTTAGAATTTTTCCTTTTAGTGACACTAAACTCAGGAGTTAAATATCAAAAATACATTCAAGTACCT